GGGTGGAGCCTAGTTGATGATTTTGTGGTAGGGGTTGAGGGGGAGGGAGGAGGTGAAAGCTCTGATGTCAGTGATGAGCGTGGTGTCCTGAAGAGATGGCGACGAGATCGGCACAAATGTCAGCTCGCTCACTTCACCGTAGGCCGAGGACGAGGTAGCAGAATCTGGGCTGCAGGCGGTGCTCTGATCACCTTCCTCCACGCCGAAGCCGACCACCTGAGTGCAGACAGGAACAGGAAGGAAAATAAAGAGTGTGACTTTAACAACTCAACTTTACCGAAACAGCTTGTTCCTTACAAACGCAGCTCAGAGAGAAATACTGCTTCCCGTTTACTCACATGCACGCTGAGCTTCCTGCTGCTGTTGTTTCTGTGCTCCAGGAACCAGGAGACCAGCTCCTGTTGGGTGAACGTCTTCAGAACCTCAATCTGCAACGCAAACCACAGTCGGTCATCAACTGGGACCAGAACCAGCAACACAGCCTCTCAGCATCAAATTCCTGGGCCAAACTTGCAATAGATCCATCCATCCATTTCCTTTACCACTTATCCAGTTCAGAGTTTCAGGGAAGGAGGAGCCCATCCCAGCTGTAAGAGTGAGTGGTCGGTAGGCCATTCACCAGCACTGGCACGGTCACTGGCTGGTTTGGTTAAACCTGAGCCTGTAGAACGTGCTGAGAGAAAATTTCATAGCATGACTTCTGGTAAGATTCACATTCATCCATCTCAACTTAGCTGGGATAGGCTCCACCTCCACTGCAACCCTGAATTACATAAACAGAAAAGAGACTAGGTGGATGGATGGGTGGATGTTGGTAAAGTAACATGCAAATGTAGTAACATGAGTGTCACCTCCTTGTTGAGCCGGTCGAAGACGTACTGCTGCGTGACCACCTCGAACCAGTTGCGGTCCACCTCCTCCCCCAGGTGTGCGTCCTCGCACTCCTTCAGCTTGATGAGCGCCGTCACCTGAGTCCCAAAGGCCTCGTCGCTCAGACCCGACAGACACTCACCGAAACTCACCAGGAACTCCTCGATCTTTGCCTCGACGAACTC